AGATACTCTGTGTACTCTGAATATTTAGAGAAAACTTAAAATGTCTTGCTTACGTAAAACTAACAATTAGCACAAAAAATCGCTGTGTATATTTGCACCGCTTAATCAACTGTCCTTTATTTAACCACACAGGATAAATGGTCATCGCATACGTGGCGATAAGTAATTAATTACATAATTCACTAAAACTTGTGTACTTTAAATTTTCTCATAGGTAACTAAAGAAGAATTAACAAATGTGACGTCCTAAATCCATAAGTAACGCATTATTTATTCCGTATTAATAATATCTTCTAAAACAACGTCATTACGATAACACTGAAAATCCTGTACGCCACTATTTAAATATTTACAAATAACTTGAGAACTGTTTGCAATAGTTCTGAAACAAAGCTTATCTTCGCTATAATCTATGTACATTTTATATGTTTGCCAACGCATCTTCGTATTTATTTTAAGATAATGTCTCTTTTAATCCAGAACACGGTTCTATCTGACAGTCTGTTTTTATTTCTACAAGAAATAATTTTGTTACGGTGCTGTGTCTTAAATTATTTTCAAAATAATATTTTATTAACGCGTAAAATAAAGATAAAAGAATAAATTAAATAATTTTTCGGTTCCGCGTTCGTCTCTGCATTGTCCATAGATAAAAAAATTTTCGCGGTCTTTTCGCTTGGTGCCAATAGTGTATTGTTTTTTTTTAATGTGAGATTATATTGTTTCTTGTTCGTTCGTTGTTCATTCTAATTTTAATTTATGTATCTACTAATTTTGTGTGTAACGTGTTAAATTACTTAATAATGGTGTTAGGTTGTTGACTCCGGTACAAATAGTTATGCATTTTTTGTTCTTTCTTTTCTGATGTCCCTAATGGTGTAAAATTCCATTACACATAGTAACTTATTTAAAAAAAAATGTTTATCTCATCAATTCAAATTGATAAGTGTTAAAGTAACTACCGAAAATAATATTAGTATCGTAAAACGTTACTCATTTGTATCTAAAGCTAAAATTAAATTGTAAGAATTATTTTTATTAGGTATCTACATGTAGATAGGTTACCGTCGCGTCGGGAGTGAGGCGTGGTGAATTTATAAAACATAAATAATGTAGAAAAATACTCTTAAATGAAAGTTAAATGTCTTTAATGACAGTGTCGCCGTAAAATAATTACTACGATCATACATTTTATATAAGTAATAATTGTTACTAAAACATTTTCATAAAGTAATCAAATATTTTCCGTTGGTAAGAATATGTAATCGATTTTCTATTTCCCTTTTTAAACACTTCAAACAACAAATACATAAGGAACTGTAATTTTATTATAAGACCTAATTATGACGTCATAAATTTTATTACTTAGGTACTTTTAAGATTTATTTAGCAATTAAGTATGTACCTAGCTAATTAACTGTGTTATTATTGAAGACAATATGATTGTTTTCTTCATGAAAAACACTGCGTAGATTAAAAAACCTAGACTTAATTAGTATGAACAAAGATGACCTGCTTTAAAAAAAATATAGTTCTCATTATCCGAAGCATGTGAAATTTCGCAGGCTTATGCTACCTACACAAAAATTATGAGGCCCTCAGATGCTCGGAAAACATTATATTTTACGACTGTCATCTGCGCATTTCCCTATTGCCATTGCTCAATACAATGTAAGTCTTTTTGTCTCCTCTTAAAGCCAAGCGGAAATGTACACCACTCGATCACAGTATACTATGACTCGATATTTACCTAAATCAAAATAGCTCGAACTTTAGCAATTCATGTAAATACACTCCACTCATATCATATTTTAAAGTTTTTTACGAGATCCATGACCATTTTGTCTCTGGACTCGTCAGGATTTCATGTTTACGGAACTTTTTGGTCGCTGACAGATCCTGGCTTCCAGGAGTTGCAACCTAATATACTAATCCTCCTTGCGAACCGATATGAAGTCGATTAACACTTTAACTGCCAAGTATAAAAAGGGTGAAAGTCAAACCGCCTCTAGCATCAGGCGCTGGTAACATGAACTGGCACTTTAAGGGTTAAAAAAAAACACCAATAAAAAATATGATGTAATCTTCCTAAGACCTACCGCATAGACGCGAAGTATTTGTCTTTTTAAGTCGAACTGCAATATAATCAGACTACTGTATTGTTGACGTCAATGTGTGGAGATAGGCCGCCAGAGAAGGCCATTGCGGAAAATTAACAAACGTTGATAATGACGAATCATTACGTTTTCCGAGCTATGATTGTTTCTTTAGCTATTATTTTTATTACCTACTTGGTGAGACTACCAGTCTTTTAAAAAGTGTTAGTCCAAATCTTTCTTGGAGGATGCCCTATATTACGTTTGCCTAGACGTGGTTTTCACTCCAGAACTTATCTAGATTGCCTATTAATCTGTCTGACAACAGTGGACCGGGGTCCACTGTTGTCCGACAGATTAATATGGCCGGCCCACTTCCATTGCAGCTTGCTAGTCCTTTGGGCTATGTCGATAACTTTGGTTCTCTGTCGTATCCACAGAAATACTTCTTTAATATATCTGTGGTCGTATCACTTGATTTCGTTTCGAGCATATAAAGAGATTCCTATCAATAGGGTACTTTCCTAAATTTTATTTTAATGTCCGTCTGGTACATTAATTTAAAACTTTAGACACGTATTTTTTCTTTTCTCACAAAATTAAATGTTTTCGACGATATATTAATTTGAAATATCGTGTGACGTCACAGCGTGTCACATTTTGTAGCACGTTATGACGTAATGACCGTCCACTCCTAAACTTAGCGCCATTTTATCTAAGTATTGCAACTTAATACGAGAAAATAAAAAATAAGTGTATTTTTTTTTCATTATGTAACTGACGGACTAATTAGATTTTTAATTTTCATACCCTGGAAACTACCCAATTCTGTCTAAAGCTCACTACAGCACCTTTTGTATTTTATCACTAATCAGTTCATAGTGATTTATAACTGCATTTTTTACTACACAAGCATAGTATATTGACCCTATAGAGCGTCAAATAACTAATACCTACTTCTTGAGTGCTTGTAAAATAACACATTGATTTTTCTTATCTGATGAAACAAAATTGAAAGTAGTACTTAGTATGTTTAACAAATGACTGCGTCGATACAGATAAACGGCGACAAAAACTTAATACTTAGTTAATCTACAACTCACAGACTTCAATGAAAAAGTTAGAAGACATTTTGTTTAGTCTTTGTTAAACTATTATTAGAATTAATGGGTTTGTGGTCGAGTTGCGTGGTTAATTTGCTTTGTATTTAAAACAAAAATGTTTTGATTTTCATATTATTTGTCAGAAATTGACCACAATGTCATGCCAGCCTCATCGTTACTTAAAATCACTTAAAAAAAAATTCCTCTTTGCAATACGTGTTTAATTTATTTATTTATTTAGTAGCTTTTACCCGCGGCTTCGCTCGAATCGCTTCGATAAAAAGTAGCCTATGTGACATATACCAATACCTACATACAGCCCCATCTATACCAATACTTTTGTTTTCCCTCGGGAATATCAATTTTTTCGGGATAAAAAGTACCCTATTATTTAATCCAGACTACTAACTTTACGTCTGCAAAAATTTAATGCAATCGGTTTAGTAGTTACGGCGTGAAGTCGGAACAAACAAACAAACAAACAAAATCACTTTCCAATTTATAATATTATTATAGTAAGGAAGTAAGGATTGACCCTTTAATGCACACAAAAATAAGGTACATAAGGCGGACTTAATGACATAATTATGGAATTTTCTCCCAGTCAACCTTTGGGTTAAATATAGAATCAGCGAAAATAGACTTGTGTATGCAAAAAAAAACAAAATAAATAACTAATATTAATTATAAATACTGTATATTATAATTTATAATTATATGAGAATTTGTTTTTTTTTGTTTGTTTGAACGCGCTAATCTCCGAAACTACTAATTCGAATTGAATAATTCTTTTTGTGTCGGATAGTCCATTTACCGAGGAAGGCTATAGGCTATAAAACATCTCGCTACGACCCATAGGAGCCGAGCAAAGCGGGTGAAACCGCGCGCAAGTAGCTAGTATAATATAATTGACGAAGACACAAACTCAGCGTTGTAGCGCCTTTAAAGTTTAACCAGTAAACTTTTAACTAAAAACGGAGCGGACTAAAAATGAAACGTTAATGTAACTTAGTTAAACTGTCAAACACCGCGACGACACCGGTGACCGCAACCTATTGTTCTTTAACTCGTCGAGTACCGGTTTTATAGACACAATTAAAGAACAATAGGTTGCGGTCACCGGTGACCGCTTGGTGTTTGACAGTTTAATTATGTCTATAATGACGGTATTCAAAGGGTTAAATTCTAAAAACAACAGAGTTATTATAATATCGTTTATTTTATACATACCTACAGGGGCAACGGCTTTATGGGATTACAAAAAAAAATTCGTTAACATCCCTTAAACTTAATACACTTCAAAAGTAATAGCATATTTCGGAAACATAATCTTAACTCACTCTAAATTCTACCACCAATGTTTAAGTATGTTTAATTAACGCTTGGGTAAGACTAAAATAACAGTATCACATGATTACATGACTAAACATAGAACAAAGAATTTTAGTGGTAGCAAAGTAAAAAATACCGCAAATAGCTAAAGATACGATTTCATTTATCCTATCAAACATTTGCTTTACCTATCTTGGTACTTATAAAAACCACCACATTCATGTTTTAATGTATTTTATGCGAACCTTCTATACGTATAGACATCCTTGTTTAGCTTTAGCTGTAGAAAATCCGACACCCCTGGTCGTATAAAAATATAGCACCAAAATTATACGAATTTATCATTTTAGACAAAGTTACCTTCACAATCAAATAGTAGAAAAAAAAGAATAATATAAAAATAGCCAGTGGTATAATGAGTGAACTTTTGTGTTAAAATAAAATAATAATTTAAAAAAAAGTGATAAAAATGAAAAACGATGAGAAAGGAACCGATTGGGAGAAGGAAAAGCTGGACCCTAATGGATGGTAAGTTTTTAATTATAACAATTGTTTTTATTTATGTGTTTGAGAATATAATATAGTAATATTCTAAGTACAGTACATACTCCATCGTTGGCCGTGTGGTCGTAAGTGCGACTACCGGGCTTTCGGGTTCGATTCCCGGGTCGGAAAAAGTATTACTGGGTTTAAAAAAATTGTCAGTAGTAGCACGGAGTCAATTAAAAAATTCTCAGTAGTAAATAGTGAAAAGTGGGTGTTACATTGTATAGTGGCATATTTTGCACCTCTGCCTACTCCTTCAGGGATAAAAGGCGTGATGTTATGATGTTATAAGTATTGTTAAAACTTGTAACATAATGGTTTATTATCTCCTAACTAGAAAAGTGGTTTTGATCTCAATCAATTCTAGGAAAATGTCTAACGTTCCAAGTTAAGTTTTTTCACTCATACTGACCAGAGCTCATGTAGATTGTATTTAAAACTTGTATTGTGTCTAAGTGTAGTACCTATTATTTGTTCAAAATAGATATGGTATTATAACTTTTTTGTTTGTTATTTATTTGGCAAAATTTGATTCAGATTATTTTTTGCTATAGGATATTGTAAATTAATAATATTAACGTACAATGTCGTACCTATGATATGAGACCATTACACACTTCTTTATCTCTTATCTAATTTATCAACATCATCTAAATCTAATCTAATTTTGCAAGCAATAAAATTGTACCTAATTTACTGTAAAATATACCATAATACCCACTCGTCAAGTGTGAAAATCAAACAGTACAGACAAAGCTCATAGCCCTCTAATAGATTTTCTCAGGCTATTGATGGTGATGGTGATAACTACTTTAAAACGAATTTAACCCTTTACATAAGAAACGTAAAATAAATCACACAGTCATCCAATTAATGTTAAGGCTACTTTAGATATTAATAATTATTATACAGCATTAATTTTATCTTGAAAGCCAAGAATACTGAATCGATATAGATAAAATAATCAATAGTCAGCTGTTATCAATTCAAGTGGATGTCTTTGATAAGTTACTCAGCTTTGTTCATAAAACTATAAAAGATAGCGAATGTTTTATATCTTTTTTTTCGTTATCGGATAAAAACTTCTGTCTTGTTAGAGATTCAAATGTAACTAGGGAAGCAGCCACTGTTGGAGTATGGGCCTCCTCTATATACGAGGTTTTGTCATAATCTATACGTTTGGCAAGTGATTTTTTTCCGAAGTGTCGCAGTATAATAGGTTCCAGAGGCCTTAGTACGAGATTATTTTATGTTTAAAGTAATCGTAACGAGTACGCGTTCGGCAATCTGATTGGTTGATTCATTGGCGCCGGCCAATCAGAGTGCCGGACGCGTACTCGTTTCGAATACTTTCAACGTAAATTAAACTCGTACTATTTATCAGAGGACGCTCCTCTTCAACCCTGTCTCTGTGAAATGTGTAGACCTTGCCGCCCCCGAGCGTACGCGTGTCGTGTAGCGACCAACACAGATGGGACCCAATAGGGCTGATACCGATACGAAGTCGCGAAGGATTTAACAGGTTACCAGGGGTCTTAGAGCCGGTCTCGAAGAGCAAAAGTAGGAACGGGGTGGTTTTTAGTCAGTAAGAGTCTGACACTCCCTCCCCAGGCGGGAGAAGTCATTCGATAATTTTCCCCCGTTAATACCATCAAACGAAAATGGTGACCGATCTCAATAAAAAACTGGGGTTTTGACAAAAACTCAATGCTTCCATGGTTGTTAGAGCTGACTACTAAGATTCTACACAATTATTATGTTGTATTCTACATGGCACGGGGGTGTTACGGAGGAAAATCTATAAATTGTGTCTAATACATTGTTAGTTTGCTTTCTAGTGTTATCCGTAACCCATGCTCTCAATGTCTATAGACATTGTACAATTACGTATCTATTAAATAATTAGATATAGCGAATAGCGACTGCACGGTTGGTGCGGTGGTTGGGCAACTGGCTGCCGCGCAACGTGTCGCAGTTTCGATTCCCGCACGGACTCTTTGTGTGATCCACAGATTGTTGTTCCTGGTCTGGGTATTATGTGTATGTGAACTTGTATGTTTGTAAACGCACCCACGATACAGGAGAAAATCCTAGTGGGGCTATGTTTTATATAAAAAAAGATATCAATTAGTATTAACTCGTCGAGTACCGGTTTTATAGACACAATTAAAGAACAATAGGTCGCGGTCACCGGTGACCGCTTGGTGTTTGACAGTTTAATAAAGTTATATGTTCTGTGTAATAAAGTTACAAGACTAACTCAAAAACCTCACAACCATGGGGGCATCCAGACAATTATTCTATTCATTCCTAGACCGTGATCAATATTTAAAAATAGTAATTGAGTAATTATTATTTCAATAAAATTACACAGCGTATTTCTATTTATTCCCTAATAAACTAGAAACCGCAAAACTTAACTAACTATTAGACAAGGAAGGAAATATCTCAATCTTCCTCTTAGTTTATAGTTTACCGTAACTTACAGAAAATAGTACATAATATACCACACATCTATGTATATAAAAAAAAATGAAACCCGTCTCCCGTTGTCACGCCATAACTTGAGAACGGCTAGACCGATGTGGCTGTTTTTTTTTTTTTGTTGTTTGTTATCGTCAGGAGAAGGTTCTTATGACAGAAAAAAATTCCTGAAAATTCTACGGGAACGGGGGAAACGCGCGTACGAAGTCGCGGGCATAAGCTAGTCAGTCATAAAAACGACTAAAGTAAATTGCGCCTGTAGTTAATAGAATAGCACAAGTAGCGAATGACACATTGCTTGACTTGTTGGCGAAGGCACTCTTGTTGAAATAAACTTATGTAACTTATAATAAACTTTTTATAAAAAAGTAACTTAAACACACAATAAAAGAAAGTATTGTTTTCCCAATTTAGTATAGTTTTCATTGCTATCGGAGAAGGTGGCGTAATTTGATCTATAAAACGATACTATAAAACTATCATCGTGTTCTTGTCTTTACTTCACGTTACTCATGGTCGGTGCAATATGGCGCTTACTTTCTTTTTTTTTATTTTTCCTCTATCAAACCTTTTTGTTACACACACCTCACACAATCCATTCGGACTCCATCTTTTCTTTGGTCGTCCTCTTCCTTTTCATCAATTCCACATTTGAAATCAGTAGAATACTGCCATCCCTTCTCATTACATGTTCTATCATTATACCTTCCAATTTCTCTATAATTGACGCTACTTACATGTTTCTATAGATATATTATATTCGGTAGGACGAATAATAAAGAAATAAGAAATTAGTAGATAATAAGCTGGATTATGTCCAGCTTATTATTTCCATCTTGCATTACATTCATGTTTTTTATAGAATTCATATCTTAAAAGAATTATGAAATGTATCTATGGGACTAATTTCATTAAAATTCACTCAGTTCTTTTTGCGTAATTGTGACTTGCCTGGTGGAGTGTTTGACAAAAGATGGAAAATGTATCAATTTTCAAAATTCTTACTGGTTCGAACAGCAACAGGCTCGCCTCTTACATGGAGTAGATGGAACTTTAAACATACCTGGTGAACTGAGTCTCATGCACGGCTTACCCCTTCAACAAGTAAAGGAGTAGAAGACCCAAATGGAGGCCTTAGAAACAAAAGTGGTACCAAAACGTGCGGAATGTCACAATGTCGCAGCGTCACGTTTTTGCCAAAAATCTTCCGCAAACAGAGACCTAACAAATGCTAAAAACAATTTTCGTAATCCAACATAAGTTCATGGGATTACCGTTTTCCAAACAATACCAAACATGGCGATGTAATATTAGTAATAGATTTAAAAATGCAAATATTAAACAATTTCCTGATTACGTAAATAGAAAATCTTGGTGACACAATGAATCATTGTATTAAGGGAGAATCTATTGTAATGCTTCTTCAAACAAGTTATAAGTACCGCAGTGTTGCTACTGAAAATTATGTACACAATATTATCTCATATTTTTGCATGGGGGGATTTGTTTAAATCTTAACTTAAGCTTTGGCTTCAATGCGGCATTTAGTAGTGCGGGTTATGGTGCCGGATTCAGATCTTGGAACCTATAACCACTTCTATTATAGCCGTAGATTCAGACGGTTCTGGATCTAGGTCTGAGTGCTTCAAGTGTTCGCGATCTGTGTCAAATCTCCCTCGCCTTCGGGAGTTTTTTATAACGGGGCAACATTGAAAACTTTTTTTTTTCTCAAGCTTGGTAAATGGTGTTTTGCCTTAGCTTCTGAGATGAGTGACTCTGACAGTATTCCGGAAAAGAGGTAAAGGAATTAGGGGTATTGCATCCCGATTTATACGAGAAATAATACTTAGTTATTATTCAGTTAGTTCATTATTTCTGATGATTTTAAATCGACTGCTTTTTCACGTGAACATTGCTTCTTGTGAACTTCACAACCTGTGGAATCCGGCCTAGCTTTGCTCAATAACTTACGTTAGACAGTTGTTTGAAACATTTAGTGCCTAATAAATAGACATAAGAACTTACCAGGGTGCTTACTCTTGAAACCAATGTCAATGCAATTTCAATTCAATAAAATCTCAACAATTATCCAATGTTAAAACTATACAACCTTTATCGTACCTGTTAAAATAGCATTTAGAATACGGAATATAAAACCAAACTTAATACTATAGTTCATTAAATATCCACGTAATACGCATGCGATGGGCGCTAGTGTTGTAACTCAAGAGTACGAAATCTCATAATGTCTATGTGGATTGATCGGTATTGATTGGATTCAAGAGTAAGCCGCCTGCTTTTGGTTTTAAGATTTAGGTGTTCTAAATTATAGTTTAACGTCGAAAAACGGTAAATAGAATGTACTTTAACAGAATGCCCAATGGCGAGATGGTGGCTTATTAGTGGATAGATTGATGCTTCATATAAATTCATCAATCTTTTCCATTACCTATATACTAATAAACTAATTACTATTAACTATCTAATAACTATAAGTC